AAACCATTGCTTTTCGCTGACAACAGACATCGGTTTAAGTTCATCGAGCCTCGTTTGAATTATGGGATGATTGGTGGGAGGTTCAAGAAGGGTGAAAATCCTTTTGTTGAGGAAGCATATCAGAGAGTTGCATCGGACCAGCTTATCAGAATAGCCAAAATAGAAGACGACGATTTGTTGATAATGTCCGATGCGGATGAGATCCCTAGTGCGCATACGATTAATCTATTGAGATGGTGTGATGATATACCGCTTATCATTCATCTTCAGTTGCGAAACTACCTGTACTCTTTTGAGTATCATCTCGACAACGAAAGCTGGAGAGCCTCGGTCCATGGGTACAAGTCGGGTAAGACCAGATATGCTCATTATCGTCAAGCCGATATTATCTTGTCCGATGCGGGGTGGCATTGTAGCTTTTGTTTTCGGTACATTAGTGGGTTTATATTCAAGATGAAGGCTTATAGCCACACCGATCGAGTGAGGTTCTCCCACTACTTGAACCCCAAAAGGATTCAAGAGGTAATATGCAAAGGACCTGACCTATTCGACATGATTCCTGAAGAGTACACGTTCAAGGAGATCGTCGGGAAGAAGGGATCTATACCCCGCTCGTATTCGGCTGTCCATCTTCCAGAATATCTGTTGAACAACGCGGAGAGACTCAAATATCTTTTGCCTGGCAACTGCAAAAGAGAAAGTGGCTGAATCAAGGAAATGGCCTGCTCGAAAGTGTTCAATTACGAGTTGTTTGCCTCACCGGAAACGGCCTGCATTAGCCCCGTTTGACGGCTATGGTGTAACATTGCTAGAATTATGCCTTGATTATACTGAAAGCTAGGTAGAACCATGACTGTGAGGGGAAACTTGATATATGTTCTCTTTTCGAAGTCGATCGATAACTCGTTACCGGAGAAGCTAGATTAAGTGGTTCGTGATGGAATGACATATTCACTGGATTTACACAAATGATTAGAATGACATTTTCCCATATTTTTCCTTGATGGGAATCTTGTTTTTCTTGAACTATTGATCCATAACTTGTAGATTTGTACCATTTGACATTCTCCCAATGATGGTAATGCTGGGTTATTCATCCTGAAAGATTGAAGCTATTTAATTAAAAATAAATAAAGCAGGCTTCTTTTTGTTATAACTTAAGTTCAATAATCATTAAACAAATGCATCCACAGTCTTCTAAACAAGTACATTGAGGATGGGACAGAATAGGCTTGTAGGAGATTTTGCAATTTATCTTTACATTTGTTTAGGGTATTTGAACACAATCTTGCTTTTTTCCCTTTCTATTCCCAACATCCTGAGAAGACGGGTGATATAAAAATATGGGAAAATTATTTTAGATATCACTTAATTTTATCCGTCGATTCGTTTATATCACTGAATTTTTAATTCTATCAATTATAGCACCGAATTTTAGTTTTACATTTAACTATATAACTCTGTCGTTAAGTCGATAACGAGATGATGACACGGCTAAAGGTTACTGATGTGACTTGCCACACCAAAATAATATCATTTTGATGTGATTGTTATGATGCCTAAAATGACGTCGTTTTAGACACTAAAATTTAAGACTGTATCGATCTTGCCACTAAACTTTTAAGTGGTTTACCTTTTTGGCATTGTACTTTCTGGCTGTCACCGACAGCAAATCACTGTCCGTCACCTACTGTCTTTCACAACAAAATCGATACTAAAATGTTCGTATTTCACTCTTCATTCTTCTCATATGATTAGTTTTCCGTAAAATTCACTCAAAAGCGACGAATCTTCATTTAAAAGTTTGGCGTACCAATACTTCGAGCTCTTTCAATGATCGTCCGATGAGGCTAGTTTTGAGGTATGTTGTTCATCTTCTCGAAATAATATTCTTCATTGTTCAGATTTATGAACAAACACCCAAATCCAGTAAACTTAAGAAAGTTTCCAAACATCTAAAAATGATAGATTTTTTTTTCTTCAATTTTGAGTGAGTTTCTTGAAAAACTAATCATATGAGAAGAATGAAGAGTGAAATGCGAACATTTTGGTACTGATTTTGCCACGAAATATGATCGATGACAGGCAGTGATTGGTTGCCGATGGCGATCGAAAAATACAATGCCAAAAAAATAAAATGTTTAAATATTCAGTGACAAAATTGATAAACTCCTAAAGTTTAGTATCTAAAATGATATTCTTTTAGGCATTAGAATAGTCGCGCCAATATAATGTCGTTTTGGGTGACAAGCCATGCTAACAACCATTAGTCATGTCATCCCGTAATTGATTTAATGACGAAGTGATATAATTAAATATAAAATTAAAATTTAATATTATAATTGACAGAATTAAAAATTTAATGGTCATGAATCAACGTACAAAGTTCAATGATATTTAAAATTAATTAAATATAATTCATTTAGAAAAGACGGTACATACACGGTGATCTTTTATTATCCTAAATAAGTTTGCATCCGGGTAAACTGTGGTCCTTCTTGGGCGGTGACTATGCACAAATACTTGGCCTCCATTTTGTTTTTTTTTTTTTTGGGTTGAAACATTTTTTATTCAGTGAGAATTTTGAAGGAACAAAGATTGAAGGTACTTTTTTATCTAATTAGTTTTAGAGAAGTTTTAATTTTGTTGCGTTATATATTCACTTTTTTTTTATCTAATATAGCAATATTTGTTTAAAAAAAGTACAAATTAAATTAAATCAAAATTTTTTAACGTTAAATCGAGTCAATAAAATTCATTTTCTTTTAAAATTGAATCGAAATTGAATTGAGATTTGTTTAACTATTTATTAAGATAAGTAAGGAATGTTTATAATTAAATCGTCCGACTTATTAATATTTCATTTTCTGAAGCTTCTTTAGGCTTTGCAATCGTCCTCCTTTGACTTTTGTTCATTTGAATTGTATTTCATTGCTTCTAACTTTAGAAAATACAACTCATATCCCTATATTAATTCTGTGTTTATATTTAAATTTGACAAATTTATAGGTTGAATTTGTGATTATGAATTTATGATTGATGCATGCATTTGTGGTTAAGGATGGGCATGGGACCCGAACTCGACGGGTTCCGACCCGACCCGATGGGGTCTGTTTTTTTTTTTTAAAAAAAATTCGAATTCGGGTTTAGGGTGAAAAATACCCGATTCGACCCGAAAAAGTATAATTTTACCTTATATATTTAGAAATAATTACAATAATACCCCTCTATATATTATTTTTCAATTAAATCATTGTTTTTATTGAATAAAAATAATATTTTTTATTATTTCGGGTCGGGTCTCGGGTGGAGGATTCCTTGATCTCGGGTCAGGCGGGTGGACCAAAAACTTGATCTATGCCCATCCTTATTTGTGGTACTAATTGAAACCTCTTTTCATTAACTTGCAAATATGAACAATCCAAATAGAGGCATTAATTGATTGAGTGGTCAAGGAAGATATTGCTTAACAACTAGGTTTTCGTATCGTGTACCACAAATGCATTTGTGGTACTGATTGAAGCCTCTTTTCATTAACTCTAAACTATGAGCAATTTAAATAATAAGTAGGGTGAGTAAAACTTGACTAGACTCGAAATATTTAAAAAAAAATCAATTTTGAGTTGTTTAAGTCGAGTTATTCGAGTCAACTTGAATTATCGATTCAATTTTTGAGTTCGAGTTGAGTTGAAATTTTGAAATTTCGAGTTACTCCAAAAATCGAAATTTTGGTTGACTATTTTGATAGTTTTGTGATTTAGTCCCTAATTTCCTTATTTCTTCAATTACTACTTCATTTTAAGTCCATTTTTTACCAAATTTGAACAACATGCTCATAAATCGCAGTAGAATACCTATGTGATTTCAATTTCTCTTTTTGATAACATTTTTTAGTTTTTAATTTAGTCCCTCAATTTTTCATGATTTCCTTATTTCTTCACGTCATCCTTCATTTTAATTCCATTTTTTTACCAAATTTGAACCTAATGCTCGTATATTACTATAGAATACCTATATAACTTCAATTCCTATTTTTTTACCAAAAATATACTCTATTTTTATAATCTATTATCTTTGCATTTTAATTAATTTGGTCTTTTGACTACAATTGTTTGCAAATTTTTTTCTCATCAATTCCTTGACTCTTTTATACTCTCATTAATACTTTACCCTCAAAATATCTTCTTTAAAATATAATATTTGTAAATATATTTTATAATTTTAGATTGTATATGATATATTAAATAACATTATAATGTGAAAAGAGTATATATATATATATATATATATATATTATTTGGTTAGAGAAAATTGAAAAATTGGAATCAATCCTTACCATAATAATATAAATAATTATAATAAAATTTGTATAGAAACTCGAATAACTCGACACGAATTTCTTAAACTCAACTCAACTTAACTTGAAAAATTTTCAAGTTAAGTTCGAGTTATAAAATACAATTTGTCAACTCGAATAACTCAATTTTTTTACTCGACTTGACTCGATCGAATGCTCACCCCTAATAGTAAGCATGCTATGGTTTGAAGTTCTTTATTTTCCCAACACAACCAAAATATTAGAAATAATCTTCTAAACATTCAAATATAAAGGAATGAATAAAAATGAACCTGATATCAATGTAATGTGAATTATGATGCACTTTTATTCCATGTGGGATTTAGATCCCAAAATCCATTTAACGTTCTGGACCATTCAAGGATCAATGGACAAAATGGCAAAGATGTGACTGCAGAAGTTTGTTTCAAGATGTTCTAAAATCTGAGGATTTAACAAGAAATTTGACAAAAAGTAAACATTCATAAGAGAAAAAGATTCAGATAACAGCACTCTAAAACATCATCAATAAACATGTAATGGATTTTAAGAATCTACCAGAGGAGAAACTGGAGATACTCCATTCAGCATTTCACTTGCACTCCAGTATTTGACAGCCAGTTTCTTTCTTTATAATGCTGCATTTTATCTGTTCCCCCCCCCCCAAAGAAACAAAGGGGGTTTTAATCAGACAATATGAATTATCGTACCAATAATAACTTGCATAATTCAGATCCTGTTTTGGATCACGATATACGGGTTCCCCACTTTCCACTACTTGTCTTGTGTCCTTTAATCAAAAGGACACATTTACAGTAAGTCCTTGAATCACATCTCAGCTCATCAAACTGGAGAATTTCTTAGTGTTTGGTTCCTCAGATTCCAAATTAGTCACTAAAAACATCATCGTCGGCTTCCTTGGCGATAGTTTTACTAAATTCAGCATCTAAGTTTTTCTTCAAACCAGCATTATTGCCTCTATCAATCCTATCCAGCTTCCCATAAGCATTATCTGCATAAGAATAATCACTCTCATAATATTCGACCCTATTTTTCTCACTTCCCTTGTTTCCCTTCGTGGTATAAAATTCATCCTCTTCATCACTGCTGCTCCTGAAATTTTTACTATAATTTGATGCTCTGAAATCGTGATCTTTCTCAGCATCAGATTCTAGCATTGCATTGTCAAGGTCACCCAACATACTTTCTATCTCAGAATCTTCTTCTGCTATTGCTTGCCTATAACTACCTCCAGTGTTTCTCCTTACACCTGCATTGCTGTTCCACCTTCCAACCTTATCTTGCTTCCTTTTTTGTACCATAGATCTCTTGATCTCAAAAACTTCTTCAGAATCGTTGTCATCATCACTTTCGACCTCACTCACATCACCAGCATTAACCTGATCCAATTCAGCAGCATCCGCAAAATTCTCTTCATATTCATCATCACTACCAGCAGTCTTCTTGTTTCCACGTGTATCTTTCCAACCCCTTGACCCTCTAACCTCATCATCAGAGTAATCATTTCCAAGGTTATCAAATCTCCCAGGCCTTCCACCAAATTCTTGTCTATTCAAGTATCTAATTCTCCCAATCTCTTCCTTTTCTTCTTCTTCCCCTTCAGCCCATTCTCGATCAGCTGCATCCTCAATCTCAGCTATGAATCTATCTAGCTCCTCCTGGTCGCTCTCTGCAGGAGCTTCTTCACGTGCCAAAAAGGTTGTCTTAGGTTCTGCCGTAGGTGACTGGTCACCACGAAAGACATATGGGCTGCCTTCCTTCTCATCAATTGCATTGAAGAATGTCGAAGCAACTCTCTGAATACTGGCCATTGCGACTGGATCTTCAGGGTTAAGACCTTTCCGCCGAAGTTCTTGTTCTATCTTCTTTATGTTTAGCTTCTGAGCTTCAAGAGCTTGTTCAAATCTGGCCTTAAACAATGCCTGCATTTATGGTAAGGAATATATAATTAAACACCTTTTCCCGTATAGAAAGCCTACTCCAGATACAATACTGATGCAAATGATAGTGTACTAAGGACCATAGCAAACCATTTACCTTCCTTTTAGTAAGGGTATTGATGGGAATCAGATTTTTCGGTTGGCGATAGTTTCTTCCACGGAACATGATAATTGTTTTTACATTATGTATGTTAATGACAATTCCACCGCTCAGTCTTGCAAGCATGGTTGCCATTTCCTTGATCTTTTCTTTGGGTAAGTTATCACAACAGACTTGCACTGTCTCATGAAACTTCCAATGGAGATGCATATTTTGGACAACACCTCCAAAGACCCCACGGACTCCGACCGGAACATAATTTTTGTTTCTGAATCCTATCTTCTTAAATGCTTGAAGCTGCTCAGGGGTGAATAGCTCTGGATCATGCACAGAAGGCGGCAGCTCTGGCAGCTCATACTTCTTGAGTTTTTGTAATAGTAATGCCACTTTCTTCTTAGCCTGTGTTGGTTATACAAATCATATGTTGATCAAACTATATTCAGAAAGCCAAAAATAGACAAACCGAGCAAACTATCATAACTCGGAACTCATTTTTTACAGCTAAAATTTGCCAGTTTTCAACAGCAAAGCACCATTCTTACTCTAGTAACAATAAAAATAACACGATAGAACACTCAAACTCTCTGTCTGAATGATTGTTTAACCTCAAAAAAGAGTTAAAACATTAAAACTTCCTTTACATTAAATCAATTACGATATGCTACAGGCAAGCATCAAACAAACAAATCAAAGCAAGAAATAGTTCATTTGTTCATTGTCAGTTATCAATGGCACAATAACTTACCCTTTTAAGGTTGTAAATAAGCCTCTCTTCATCAGTCATAAGCTTCTTCTTAATTTTCTTAGCCCTCCGGATTTCTCTAGCTGTCTTACCAGACTCTTTCTGCATTCGTCTTTCAACCTTGCTTCGCATACTCCTCCCTCTTGAAGTCGACATCATACGACAGCATCCATTAAAGGGATTAGTAAAGGAAGGAACTGATGCAAAATTATCTCCAAAACATCCATCTATTCGTATCAAATTGCTTGAGACTAGTGTGGGAGTAGTTTCCTTAAACGCCACAACATTCCTACATTTTCATTAAAATAAAATGCTCAAACGAATAAAAGTCCAAGTGAATGAGGAAAAAAAACTAATCAAATACTCAGTTCTAATGGAAATGGAAACTGAAGAACCAAGCTCTAATAGAGTAAAGGCTTGATTGACGGGAGCTAAAAAAGCAAAAAAGAAAAACGATTACCAGAGTTTGATTTTATCTCATAAAAAATAAAAGGATAAGCGAACCTGTGGGAATTTGATTGCAACAGAGAAGACAGAATCTTCAAGCAATGTTTTTGAAGATTCCTAGCAGCAAACATTTAATCCGTCAATAAAAGGCCTCTTGTTTTTGTTCTTCACTGCTTCGATTCCATGGTATTTCGGCGAAAAAGAATGGTTAATGGTGAGGAGTTTCCAGGGTTTGGGGTTTCTCTTTTGGGTAAACTATATTTTAGTCTATAAACTTTGACCTTATTTATTTTCTTCACCAAACTTTAAAAACATCTGATTTTACTTCAATTTTTGGGATAATTTATGTAAAAAGTCTATGAAACTTTCCTTATAAACTTAGAATTTTAGACTTATTTGATTAATTTTACTGGAATGGTTTTTTCATATTTAAATTATGACAAGGTCGAGAAAGAGAAGAAAAGTAATATATCTTGATTTTACGACGATCATACAATGAAAAATATAGATTGAACCAAGATAATATTAAGCTTTAGTTTGAGTTTTAATTTTATTTTGAGAAAAATAAAAATAGAGAAAAAAATAAATTAGTATCAATTATGTTGCAAACAGTGGCTAACAATAGCAAATAACGATAGAGAAGAATGCTAGTCAATTGTCATAAAAAAGTGAAATATTAGGTCAAGTTCATAAATAAAATTACCCAAAATGTATCTTTTTTTTATTTTCATTACACAACTAAGAATTAGACGACAAAAAATAAAATTCGGAAGCTAAGCGATAAAATTGAAAGCTTTTAAAAGTTATTGATCAAAATAGAACACGATAAAACTTAAGTGACTGAACGAGAGGAGCAACAATTAATATATTGTTGGATATAATCTCGATAATCCCCTTTACGACGTGGTTTATTGACCGAGTATATTTTTTATAGATTAAATATAGAGAAAAATACATAAATGATAATTTATAAGGCGTTTTTTTATTGAATTTTTTAACTATTAAAAATTATAAAATAATTTTTTATCTATAAGATACTATTTTATTGACTATTAAAAATTACAAAATAGTTATATGACTATCTATATGTTCCAAACTCATCATTTTTCGTTAAAAAAATAATGCTCATCTGAGCTGGAAGTTAACCTGTTTACTGAGATATGATAAACTCTGATTCCAAAATCGTTTGAGTTGTATTTTGTAGATTGACTCTTCGTTTACATTATGTCTTCGAGTCAATGCTTAAAATATTATGTCGTTGAACCAGTACTTGAAAACAACAATGGTGCCAATAGATATCATTAAAATATAATTTTATCATATCTCGGTCAACATGTTAACGTTCAGCTAAAATAGTTGTCAATTTTTAACAGAAAAAGACGAGTTTGGAATATATAAATAGTCAGGTGATCATTTTGTAACTTTTCATAGTTAATAGGTTTAACAAAACAATAACCTATAGTCAGGGGATCATTTTATAACTTTTAATAGTTGAGAGAGAAAACAAAGTAACGTCCTATAATCAGAGGACCATTTGTATATTTTACCCTTAAATATACTATAAGAATAATTGTCAATATAAAGTTATTTTAAAATTATTATTTAATACAATAATTAGTGTTCCATGTTAAGATGAATTTTTTTTCCAGAAAACAATGTATTGAGATGAGATATTTCCCAACCATAGAGTTCAAGATTATGGAAAAGGCTCAAAATTCACCTCCCATTCCCTAGAGAAAGAAAGAACTTCAAAGATCAACAAATCCTTTAATCACTGAAGTAATAAAACATACTCATATCAAATATGGTTCAACATGTAAAAAAATCATGTAAAACAATTAAATATACTCGTGTCAAACACGTATTCGAATTGAACCCGAACACCCGTGTACAAGTGTGCAAATTCTAGAGAAGAAACCAGAAGCAAAGGCGTTTGGATGCACCTTATACACATTGACATTTCCATCACAGCAACCTTTAAACCCCATGAGTTTGTTGATCCATCTTAAGGATTCTAAAATTCATGCAATCAATATGTAAAGCTAACAGACACATAGGATACCACACAGCTTTCTGTCATATACAAGTTATAACTGATTAGCTTGTGTTATTTCTAATATCCCAGACTAGTTACCTTATTGAACTCCCCTAAATATCAGTTAACGTTATCTTCGAAAACGAACTTGTGTCTTCGAGAGATTCAGTAACACTGGTTAAAGCATAAGAAGAAACTTCTAGGTCGGTCTTCCTTGGTCGCTTTCGTAGTTTCCGCTACATCATATCTTGCAGCCATCAATGAACTTGTACCGGGAGACTCAGGTGGCAATACAGCATTCGCCGAAGTTGTTCTCTTAGGAGGCATCACAGGCTCTGGTGGTGAAATGGTCGAGAGATAGTGTAATAACATTTGTATGATCTGGCTGAAATTGGGGCGAGTATTCGGATCTTCTTGCCAACATGATGTCACAATTGACGCCAAATCTTCTGGAAGGTCCTTGGCACTAGGCCTCACATTCTGAAACTACATAGTTAAAACTTAAACCACAATGACAATATCAGAGCTCCTTAGTTTCACTAGAATAACATAATTGTATATGAGTTTATTCTTGGCGAAAATGAAATTTTTACAGGTTTCAATATGCATGCTACTCTAGCATCATGACTCAAATGTATATGAGAAGGTATAACTACTCGGGGTTCAACAGTGGTCGGTAAAATTCTCATCCATAATATACTAGCTTAAGGGTGTTAATCATGGTGCATGGAATCCTACAAAAAAGGCAGGACGATGGGTTGCGGATATTTGAAATGCGTCAGGAGAGCTTCTCAAAGGCAGGCCGACAAGAATATACACAAGAAATCATCGATCTGAAAAATTACTGCAATAAAAAGGCTTAAAATCATTACCTTAAAAGCAGCTGCATATGCTGCTTGTAAATTTGACATGCCTTCAAAAGGCAACTTGTTATGGATGAGTTCCCACAAAACAATAGCAAAGCTGTAGGCATCCACCTTATGATTGTAATGCTTCTTCTCTCCTTGCCTTAACGTGACTGTGCTATAAAGCTGTTTACATATGTAAAGGCTTCGGCATCTCAAACATCGGAGAAAACCCAAAATCATGAGGGGAGAAAAAACAATTAAAAGTTTTAAAGATATCACTGCATTACTTCAGCAGTCATCATTTCGGTTAATGACTCTTCCCTAGCTAAACCGAAATCTGCTAGCTTAACTGTTTTCTGGTCCTCGGTTAAGATCAAGTTCTCTGCATTAGAAAAGAATTTATCAGGATCATGCAAACCTATAAGAGGTGACCACACAATATTGCATAAAGTTCATTAAAGACTGTTACTACTTTCATTTATTTCCAGATAAATTGTTATTGAAAGCATAAATAACTAATTCAATTCATCTAACAGCTCCAAACTGCCCAATGAAAGCATTGGTCAAAAGAGCCAGGATGTCAATAAGCAATATTATGCAAAACCCCAAAATGTCAAATGATCAATGCACCAATAGTTCCGGATATTCGTCTTACATTTTTAGTCACAAATTTATCAATATACTTTCGGTCTGCACACCGGTATTCAAGTAAAAAGAATCCATTTTAACCAAGATGAATATCCAGAACAAATTATCCATCTTTAGGCATAAACTTGAGTAATTATCAGTGGCCCCAGGAGCTGAATTTTAACAAAGACACAGAAGAACAACTCATCAGCAGTAAATTCTTTATGTTAGATAACATATATTGCAACACGCCGTTGGTTATTGTGGATTCCATTTGCCTTTTTTATGAGTAGGATTACAGTAATATTAGGGGGGGGGGGGAAGCTATAATATAAACACCAAATCTTAGGGATATAAAAAGACAAAATGCAATTATATTATACATGTAAGTTTCCAACCTTTTCTAAGAATGCTACTAATTCAGGCTTATTAACACACTATGTTAGGAAAATAAACCGAGTACAAGTAATTTCCCTATAGTCAGATTAGTGAGAATACGAAATAAAAGTGGAAAAATAATACCCGAAATTGATAACGGAGTTCAGCCAATTGTGCTTACGTCTCCGGACTGCTGCAGATCTTTTACTAAGAGAGAAAATTTACAGGTGTTTACAAAACACTCACTACTCACAAGAAAACTCTCTAGTATTGGGAGAAAGAAATGATTTTGGATGATTTTGAAGCTAAATGGGTAAGGGTATTTATAGTAGAAACTTAGGGACTAATCTTTGAAAATACCCTAAAGTGCAATGACTAAAGTGAATTTACGCATTCCTATTTTCAACAAACATCTACCAAAATTTACCAAACTTTGAAAAACATTTTTCAAAGAAACATTACCAACTTTGAAAAACATTTTCCAAAGTTGGTTGCCAAACTTTGAAACTTTAACAATCTCCCACTTGAATACTGATTTTAATATGTCTTCACACCTCGATCAATGCAACAACATGTCTGGCCTTGTTATTCTAGCATGCCACTGAAGCTGAACATGTGCTTTGTCCTGGAATGAAAAGACGGATTCCTTGCTAGATGGATAGCACTTTGACTGTCGCAATACAAGACATTGTTTTCTTGTTTCTTGCCTAACTCTTCCAAAAACTTTGGAGCTAAACCATCTCCTTGCTAGCTTCCGTAACAGCGACATATTCTGCTTCAGTTGTGGAGAGAGCAATTATCTTCTGTAGTTGAGAAACCCAACTCACTGCGGTTCCTCCTAGAGTATAGACATACCCAGTAGTGCTCCTTCTGATGTCAACATTTCCGGCTAAGTCAGCATCTACATAGCCTGTCAGTATCGTATCTCCACCTTTGAAACAAAGTGCTTTGTTTGTGGTACCCCGCAGATATCTGAGGATCCATTTGACTGCTTCCCAGTGTACCTTGCCCGGATTATTCATGTACCTACTAACAGCTCCCACTGCTTGAGCAATATCTGGTCTGGTACAAACCATGGCATACATCAAACTTCCAATTGCTGAGGCGTACGGCACCTTCACCATGTGTGCACGTTCTTCCTCCGTCTTTGGTGATTGTTCTTTGGAGAGTCTGAAATGAACACCTAAAGGTGTACTTACTGGTTCAACATCTTGCATGTTGAACCTGAAGAGTACTTTGTTGATGTACTCAGCCTGTGATAATATCAAAGTCCCTAACTTTGTGTCTCTCTTGATCCTCATCCCAAGAATCTGCTTTGCAGCGCCCAGATCATTCATAGCAAACTGCTTTGACAATTTTTGCTTCAAGTTTATAATCTCTTGCATGTCTGAGCCTGCAACGAGCATGTCATCAACATACAACAATAAAATAATGAAGCTATTGTCGAACCTCTTGATGTAGCAACAATGATCTGCTTGGCATCTGGTAAAACCACTGCTACTCATGAAAACTATCGAACTTCTTGTACCACTGTCTAGGAGCTTGTTTTAAACCATACAAGCTCTTCTTCAACCTACATACCAGGTTTTTCTTGTCTGCCTCTATGAAGCCTTCTGGCTGCCTCATATAGATTTCTTCCTCCAAATCACCATGAAGGAAAGCTGTCTTTACATCTAACTGCTCAAGATGTAAATTCTCTGCAGCTACAATTTTCAACACCAGTCTGATTGTAGATAGCTTCACGACTGGAGAGAAAATTTCATTATAATCAATACCTTCTTTTTGTTGAAAACCTTTGACAACCAATCTTGCTTTATAGCGTTTGCTCCCATCGTGCTCTTCTTTGATCCTGTAAATCCACTTGTTATGGAGCGTTTTCTTGCCTGGTGGTAATTCAGCTAATTCCCATGTCTGATTTGACATAAGCGAGTCCATCTCATCTTTCATGGAAGACTCCCACTTGACTGAATCCTCCACTTGCATTGCTTCATCATAGCACTCTGGTTCACCATTGTCAGTCAGCAACAAATAGTGCAAAGAAGGCGAATATCGTTGGGTTGGTTTTAGGAATTCTGGAGGAACGTCTCAGTTCTGGTGTGTGTGGTTCTTCTTGAACTGCTTCAGGATTGATCTGAACATCATTTCCAGAAATCTCCTCGAACTCAGCAAATTCCTTTGTTTCAGCTTCGGTATTACTTGATTCTGCGGTTGACCTATCTTTGTACATCACATTATCATTGAAAATAACGTCTCTGCTTCTGATGATCTTTCGATTTTCGTAGTCCCAAAACCGGTAACCAAACTCATCACCACCGTAACCAACAAAGACGCATTTGTTGGACTTGGCATCAAGTTTACTTCTTTCAGCAGAGTTTATGTGTACATAAGAAAACAACCAAACACCTTAAGTGTGAAGGTTTATTTCTTTCTTGCTCCAAGCTTCCTCTGGTATTCCGCCATCTAAAGGAACTGAGGGCCCCACGGTTGATCAGGTAAGTTGCAGTGTTGATAGCTTCAGCCCATAGAAATTTGGGCAATCCGGCATGTATCCTCATGCTTTTGGCACGTTCATTCAGAGTTCTGTTCATGCGCTCTACTACGCCATTCTGCTGCGGTGTTATGGGAACTGTTGTCTCCATCTTGATCCCATTGTTTGCACATAAATCTCTGAAACTACTGTCTCTGTACTCTTTTCCATTGTCAGACCTCAACCGCTTGACTTTCAAACTAGTCTCATTTTCCACCATGGCCTTCCATTTTCTGAAGGTATCAAAGACTTCTGATTCTTCTTCAGAAAATAAACCCACACCTTCCTTGTTGAATCATCGATGAAGGTGACATAATATAGTGAGCCTGCAAGATGGAACAGGGGATGGTCCCCATACATCAGTATGAACCAATTCTAACCTTTCTGCCTTGGAGTCTTGCCAATCTTTGTAAAACTGACTTTCTTTTGTTTTCCAAAGATGCAATCCTCGCATAGTCTGACATCTACATTCTTTAGATCCGGCAGCTTCCCTTTTGACAGAAGTATCTTAATTCCTTTCTTGCTCATATGGCCGAGCCTTTGGTGTCATAGGTTTGATTTTCCATCAGCATCTGCTACTGCAATGATATTCTCTAAATTTGAGGTTACATAGAGAGTATCGGTCTTCTTACCACGAGCAATGACGAGTGCTCCTTTGGTAATCTTCCATTCACAGCCTGAAAAAGTTGTACTATATCCTTCTCCATCAAGCTGTCCAACAGAAATCAGATTTCTTTTGAGGCCAGGAATATGTCTCACTCCTGTCAGCTTCCAGGTGGTATGGTTTGGCAGCTTTAGTCGGATGTCTCCTTTTCCGACGATCTTCAAGGTTTCATCATCAGCTAGATGAACCTTCCCAAAATCACCACTGACATAGTTCTCCATGATTTCTCGGCATGGGGTGGAGTGGAAAGATGCCCCTGAATCCAAGATCCATGATTCATCGGACTTGACGCTTAAAATCATGGCATCACCTGTCTCCTCCGTCATGTTGGCAGATTCCTGTGCACCGGTATTTTTCTTCGGTGCTCGGCAATCTCTTTTGAAGTGACCCTTCTTGCCGCAATTATAACAGGTAAAATCTTTATTTCCTGTTCTTGATTTGCCCCTTCTGGATTTGATCTGCCACGATTTGAATTTCTTTCTGAAGTCCTCCCTCTAGACTCCGTGTGCAAGGCTGAGGAGGTTGATGCTTCACCCGATTCTCTTCGTCGAATTTCTTCACTCAATACAGATCCCGAATATCGTCGAATTTAATTTGCTGTTTCCCGACGAACTGCTGACTGCTGTAACAGTAGCATTCCAACTGTCTGGTAGAGATTATAAGAGAATTAAAGCTCGAACTTCATCATCGAACTCAATTTCCACTGAACTCAACTGGGTTGTGATTGTGTTGAGTTCATTTAGGTGTTGTGCCACCGATGCCCCTTCCCCATCCGCAATTGAATAATCGCCTCATCAATGAACTTTGTTTGAGGCCGATGGCTTCTCGTACATACTGGAGAGAGCCGCCATAAGACCGTGGTCTTTTCCTTTGCTATGTTAAAAGCAACATTGCGGGATAACGTCAGTCGGATAACTCCGAGGGCTTGTCTGTCGAGAAGAGCCCAATCTTCATCCTTCATGCCCTCTGGTTGCTTTCCTGAGAGAGATTGATATAAATTTTTCTGGTACAAAAAATCTTCAATCTGCATCTTCCAAAAGCCAAAGTCCGCACCATCGAACTTTTCAATTTTCACCTTCCCTTCGTCTGCAGCCATTGCTCCCACTCGAATCTGGCTTCGTTTGGATCGTTTCTGACAATTATTGCGAATCACCGTGTATTAGAACACCACCGTTGACAAACTCGTATCGCAGACCGAATTTCACTATTCAAAAAATTCACTATTCACGTGAATAGTAATGAATAGTAACCTCGCAGAAAATTTGACAAAATTCACAACCAAAAGCTCTGATACCAGTTGTTAGGAAAATAAACCGAGTACAAGTAATTTCCATATAGTCAGATTAGTGAGAATACGAAATAAAAGCAGAAAAATAATACCCGAAATTGATAACGGAGTTCAGCCAATTGTGCTTACGTCTCCGGACTGCTGCAGATCTTTTACTAAGAGAGAAAATTTATAGGTGTTTACAAAACACTCACTACTCACAAGAAAACTCTCTAGTATTGGGAGAAAGAAATGATTTTGGATATTTTGAAGCTAAATGGGTAAGGGTATTTATAGTAGAAACTTAGGGACTAATCTTTGAAAATACCCTAAAGTGCAATGACTAAAGTGAATTTACCCATTCCTATTTTCGACAAACATCTACCAAAATTTTACCAAACTTTGAAAAACATTTTTCAAAGAAACATTTACCAAACTTTGAAAAAACATTTTCCAAAGTTGGTTACCAAACTTTGAAACTTTTAACACACTAGTCATACCAGGTTTCAGGTCCCGGTGAATGATCCCATGGGAGTGTAAGCATTCCATTGCACGAGCGATATCAAGTGCGAAGCCAATCGCTACACGTGTGTCCAAGCACTTTGGCCGCAAACTCAGAAGGAATTTACGCAATGTCGCACCTAATAAGAGCTCAGTTACTATGACCATCATAGGCTCCTTGCAAGCTCCAATAAAATGAAAACAAATGAAATCTCTGCTAAGATATGAGCCTATTTCCACTAGTTATAACCTAAAATGTCATGATTAGCCGATATTCATTATCGATACCAACAATATCCACAAAAGAAACATAATTCAGCAACTAGAAACTAGTGGCATATATGATGATTAAAAAAAACCTTAACTAGATTTTTATGTTGAACTCTGGATAACATTGCAACCAGGGATTTAAATAACGTTCACGGTCACGTTTTCAGTCGCGTCGCGTTTATCGCGGTTGCGGACATAACGGATGCGATCGCGGTCACGTCGCGGTCGTGAATTTTTTTAAAATTCGCACAATTTATCCTAAAATATAATAATTAAACTTGATGACCCATTTTTCCATCATACATTTTAAGGTAACAACATATGCTTCTAACTTATAAACGGTAACAAGTTTACCACATTTTTTTAATTGAATTCTTAATCTAATTTAAAATCCAAGATCCATACACCAAAAAATAGCATCAAAACCAAATTATAAACGGTCCATTGCTTTAACAACCCAAAAATTTAAATACCCAAATTGAACCCCGGGCCCAAATCATTTCCTTGACCTAGACTAAGCCTTTGTCTTCTTCTCCACGACAACACTCCAACAATCCTCATCAGCAAACACATGCAGAGAGCACCAAAACAAAAGAAAAATTAGAAAATCCCAAAAGCAATGCAAATTAGAGCTTCAAAAAATGGAGGAAAGTGACAGTACATACCATCTTCAACAAGTGAAGAAGAAGATGAATGAGCATAAAACGAAGACTCATTTGCTTATCGACCAACTCTCAGCCATTGGTAAGAGGCTCACTCACTTTCTCTGGCGTTGCTTGCTTTTTTCTCTCTTTAATATTTGTTCTATTTTGATGATGAGAGCAAGCTATGGCAGTGGGTTTCTTTTATGTGAAAACTTGTGGATAACGGGAATAGAGTCCCGTTATCGACGTTATTTTCCGTTAGATGCTAAATTGTGGCCGCGAAAGACTGTTATTGTTGTGATTCCGCCACCCACCACAATTTTTCCGATTAGCAGTTTCGGACGGCGACGCTACCGCGAAATAGCGGGCGCTATTGCGGTTGCGCTCCGCTTTTTGATTCCCTGATTGCAACTTCCCTTGCAAACCTGCCTTCTCTCCTTGCAATCTCTTCAGGGGTTTCCCCTTTTCTAACAACTTTGATAGCAACATTCTGGTTCCTGTACCTAAATGCATCAAATGGATTAAAATACATGAGATAACTACTATACAATAATAGGCACCAATAATCAAATATATCCAGCCTACAAAATAATTACACATTTAGTGTTTTTGAAGGATGGGATTCATTAAAAAACATAAGCTTTATGTTCTTCACAATTGATCAAAAGGTCAAACTGGATGAAGTAGAATCCAAAGAAAAAATGACTTACCTTCCCTCATATACTTTAGCATGAGCACCTTCACCAATCTTAGGACCAACAAAAAGCTGCTGAGGATCAATCAACCACTTAGCATCTAAATTGAACTCTTGAGTTGCAAAAAATTCATTTGAAGACCCTATTATTAGAAATCACCCTTTTTTTAAAACAAGAATTGAACAAACAAAACCATCCCAACAACAAGGGCTGCCTTTGCCTACATTAAAGAACCCAAAGTCTGATTTTTTACTTTTTTTTCCCAGTTTTAAAATAGCAAAACCATCCTAACAATCAGGGATTGCAGATCCAAAAATCCATCAAGAACTGCCCTTTAACGGGAGGCAAGGAATAAAGTCCCACATGTTCTTAGCAGACAACCCGCAACAAACATAAATTTAATACAATAAAGTTTATACTATAGATAAAAAGAAATACATAAACCCAGAGAGGGAACAGAGAAATAGAAAAAACCCTTCAGCAAACAATCAAGCACTGACACAAAAAATAATTTTAAAGACACAAATAAGTTTTTTTAATGGGAAGTTAGCTGAGTAAGCCAAAAAAAAATAGTTAAGGTAAAGGAATTTAAAAGAAGAAATATTGTGGGGACTAGGAGAGTTAATGCTGGATGAGAGAACTGGCCGCTGGCTATTGAGAAGAGACAGAGACAAGTATTTAATAGCTGAAGGTTATGCAAGTGCATTGAAAGCTGTTCTATACAATTTTCCTTTGATTTCCTTGACTATTTTTTTTGCAAGTCTTGCCTTAAACAACACTGATTTTTATTGTTCATTCTTGGATTTTCCATTTCTATAAACAGTGGTTTCTTTGCAAGAAAATAGTTTATACAGATCATAAACCCAAACATTGAAAAAGAAGATTTCACTTTGCTTATAATGTTCACGAGATTCTGATGAGAAAGACTATAATAATTCCTGATTAAATTAGAAATTTAATATTATTTGGGGTAAAATACACAAATCATCCCTCAACTATAGGATACTACTTTGTTGAGTCTGACTATTAAAAGTTATAAAATGGTCATCCAACTATATAGAGTTGTTTTGTTGAGTCACTCTACTATTAATAGTTATAAAATAGTCACTCGACTATTCATTATGCCCCAAATCCATTGATAAATTAAAGGTTGTCTAAGCTGAACGTTAACATGCTGACTGAGATATGATAGTCGTTTGAGATTATGAAAACATATTTTATCATATCTTAGTCAGTAGGTTAACGTCCAGCTCAAACTGTTGTCAATTTTTTAACAGAAGATGATGAGTTTGAAAACATAATGAGTAGTGGAGTGACCATTTTGTAACTTTTGATAGTCGAGGGAATCAACAAATCAACTCCCTATAGTAGGTGTATCATTTTGTAATTTTTAATAATCGGGAGACTCAATACAACAACACCCTATACTCAGGGGACCATTGTTGTACTTTACCCTATTATTTAAGGGAAGAAGGAATTTAGATTTTCGATGTTTAGTTTTTTTCTTCAGAATTATGTTAACTATCAAGTGGGAATAATAATTATCTTCTTAAACATTGTTTAATTAATGGTTACGTGTGTATTTAATATGCAGAATTTATACATGTCAACATTATATATCAAGAAAAAATGAGATATCATCGAATTTTTTTTATAAAAAGTTATATTAGATAAAATTTAAAACTTAAATGTCAACGAAAATCCTATATAAATATTAATATAAATCGGTTTTTAATATGTTAAAGTAATTATTGAATCTTAAATAATAATAATTTAGACGCAACATGTGCCCGTGGATAGAGATAGTGTACCTCCATGCACTATCTCTCTCTTGGTAGGGTTAGATTCTTTGGAGTTTTATATAATTTCAAAATTTTGAGGGTGAGAGAGTTTTATATAATATGATCATCATATCGAATGGTGGTCATCTTTATTAGAAATCGATGGTCAGTTAACAGATCAACTTGTTCTTTTCGTTCTGATTTTGAGGTCCTCTATTAAGATGGCCGAATGGTCGACATATTTTGGGGTGTCGAAAAAGAAGTAGTTTTAGAGTTTGGTGGTAATCGGTTTATAGTGTTATCTCAATTACAGGTGTGATTGCTGGTATATAAGTGCATTGTTGATTCTTCGTTATGTTGTTTATGAGTGGTGGTTGCGACAAGTGTTGAAGCTTGTTCCATATTTAATCTATTTGGTTTTTTTGGATCGTTAGTTTGTATTTTGTTGCAAGTTTTGGTTTGTTTGAATTGTATCTACTCTTTTCCTTTATTTGAGATTAGAGAGGTTTTTAATAAGACTTACAATTTGGATTAGTCTTGTTAGATATTATTAAAATTATTTTGCCGAAAAAAAACTAGAGAAATTGTTACTGTCTGTTTAATAATTAATATATATATATATGATAATATTTTTATAATCATTAATATTTGATTTATTAATAAATTAATTCAGATAAATTATTATAAAAGTTCATTAAGGTAGAGGCATATTCAGAAATATTTTTCAGGGTGAGCACATATGTATTAATAATAGAATTTTTTTACATGGAGTAAACACCAATAAAATTTTAGGATAGATACCATCAGAAAAATAAACAACAAATATAAAAAAAATTCGAATTCAAAGTGGGCACGTGCCCACCCTGAAATATACATGCATCCACCACTCCTAACTTAATTTGCTTTGTTCATAATGTAAAAAACTTAAATCTTAAATATTATTTAAGGATTTAAAATTTCATTACGTTAGCTTAATTTATGATTAATGTTTTATAATATAGATGCAGTTGCGGAACTAGACAGGGGCTAGTAGAAGCTTTGGTGCATGCCAATTAATTTTTTTTAAAGTTAATTAATACTAAAAAAATATATATTTTTAGAAAATAAATAAAATAAATTTTACGGTGATCCCCTCATGAAAAAGTTATATTTCTAAGAAATAAAAAAAATATTTTGACCCACTTAATAACTTTCTAGTTCCGTCCATATATAGATGCATGGATTTATAAATTTATTCTTGTCTATTGTTTATATTTCTATACTTGAATTAAACCCAGAAGAAAAATGTGTCTTTGTTGAAGTAATAACTTCATTAACAAATATGGATCAACATTAAAGCCTTGAATACTAAAGCACCTATTCTATTTTGTAGTATTTGTTATATATATATAGTAATTGTGGGAGTACTTTTGGTAACGTTTTCGTTTTTGGTTTGAGTTTGCTTCTGTTTTGGAATTGGGCCTGGGACATGTTTCAATGCGGAACTATTTTCGATGTGAACATCTATATTTTTTTTTACGGACGTTTGGTTAAAAGAATGTAAAATTTAAAACTTTTGTTAGAGCATATCTGGATCTTTAATACACTATGAAAATAATAACAAAAAAAGTTGTTAAAATGTAGCCTAACATTACATAATGTGGATGTATACTATGCTTGAGAACAACCTTTACTTATCAAAAGCACATTGTGAGCAATGTTAATCTCAACGACGCTTGTATGTACAAGGCTTCAACTCTGCCACTCAATTTCTCTCTCATTTGAGCTTTAGTTTATGGTTTAGGGTTTATAGTTTAAGGTTGATATTCTGACTTCGTCTAAGCTATGTTATTCTAATTTGAGGGTTGGTATACATGTTAACCAGAAAAAAGAAAGATTACCTTCAATGCCGAGGCAAATCCCATCTCACAAACAGCTTTAGAAAACATATTTGGGTGTGCCCCCCCCCCCCCCCCATTTTTTTGGGATCAAATCTGCTTTTTACCTGCTATCAAAAGCCAGCCACCATGAAGAACCATGATAAGCGGGTACTGATGAAAGCAGCTTTAGAAAACATATTTGGGTGTGCCCCCCCCCCCCCCCATTTTTTTTGGGATCAAATCTGCTTTTTACCTGCTATCAAAAGCCAGCCACCATGAAGAACCATGATAAGCGGGTACTGATGAAAGGCATTAAGAACTGTAGATGCTTCTTGAAGGTAACTAGCATAGTTAGTCCCCATCGACGAAAGGCAAAAGACAGCAACGTCTACTGATGAAGAATGAAGTAATGTCTGACAAAAAATTCAGGGATGCCATCAAACATAAGTACATTCAGGCATGGAAAACATTTGAGGCCACAAAAAATCAAGCATCAAAGTTGGAGTCATGCAACGTTTTGCATGTGCTATTATAATAGATGCATTTTATTTATTTCATTTGCATATCATATGATTTAATGTTGCATATTGCATTTTTTTTATCCACCCTACATCCATTGTCTTACTTCCTACAATAGACTACTTGATAACAATCAAGAAGTTCAGGCAATCATAACAATTCCGCAACCAAAAATGTATCATGAGCTATCTGCTAGTTGTTTTTCTATCTTTTCAAAAGGGAATCAAAATCAGTATTTTCTAGTATGACATCCTACAAAAATTAGTTTCGAATTTGGTAATTGATAGTATCATGCAGACAATAGTATTCTGTACAGATGCTAATAACTGATAGTATATGCAACATTACCAACAGATGGATCAAATTTATGTAATAGCCCTCAGTGATAACATCAAGGAATCTAACAATGATCATAACAAAGGATGAAAAAGAAGATTGCATTTGACATATCACAAGTCATTACTGAAGGATCGTTCGAGACAAGATCGAACGAGAAAACTTTATTCTTCACATTTTCTGCGAGCCGTTCATCAACTGAAACAAAATTCAGTTGGATGACAATCACGTAAGAGCCAAAACAAGATATAACAGATCTTGTTAAACATTTATCGTGAATATGTGTTCAGAGTTAACATCAGAATACAAAATGATTCAATGTGAAGATTCTGCAAGCTGCCTAAAAAGTTTGGAAGTTAAAGAATTCAATTTCACAAGTAAATTGTTATCACTAGAAAACATAAAAAGGACATAAAATTGAACAAACCTAAAATTACAAACTGATATTTAAATAAATTAAACAACACGTATGAATGAAATTGAAACAATTGTAAAATGTAAAGCTAAAATTAATATAAAAATAGACTAAATTGCATTCATTTACAAAGTTGGTCAACAAAAGTTTACAGGGTTTGAAGATTATGATGTAATTTATAGGGTTTGATATGGAGTTATGATGTGATTTATATTGGAGTAAATTGAATTCATTTACAAAGTTGGTGAACAAATGTTTATAGGGTTTGAAGATTATGATATAATTTATAGGGTTTGAAATGGAGTTTATGATGTGATTTATATTGGAGTAAATTACAAAAAAAGAAATAATTGCGTCAATTTCGGATAAAAATATAATTTGAAGGACTAAATTGAACAAACATAAAATTACAAAACTGAAATTTAAATAAAGTAAATAACACACATGGATCAAATTGAAACAAATATAAAATGTAAAGTTGGAATTAATATCAAAATGAACTAAATTGCATTCATTTGAAAAGTTGGTGACAAAAATTTACGAGGTTTAGAGATAATGATATAATTTATAGAGTTTAAAATGAAGATGATGATGTGATTTATAGGGTTTGGAGTAAATTAAAAAAATAAAAATAATCATAGGCCAATTTCGAGTAAATATTACATTACATACCGAAACGTAAATAAATTAAAAACATACAATGATCAAACTGAAACAACTGTAAAATGTAAAGCTAAAATTAATATCAAAATGGGAAAAATTGAATTCATTTGAAAATTTAATTAACAAAAGTTTATAGGGTTTGGAGGTTATGAATTTATGATATAATTTATATGGTTTGGAGTAAATTACAAAAAATAGAAATAACTATGAGCCAATTTCAAATAAAAATATGTTTTTAGGACTAATAAATACAAGATACATACATTAATAAATATAAATTATGCATACATACATGATACATACATACATACATACATACATACATATCATACATTCGATTAAACATATATATATATACATGTATCATACATACATGATACATGCATTAATAAATTATATATACATATCATACATACATACATACTATTAATGATATATACATATCATACATACATACATCTATGCATGCGTGCTTTAATAAATTATATATACATACATATCACACATACATGATACATGCATTAATAAATTATACATGCATGCATATTACATATCATACACACATATCTTAATTAAATTTATTGTCAAATTATCATAATTAATAATCTGTTTTAAATTGTGAAGAATTATTTTTATAAATTTTATCAAACACAAATTATTAATTCAATAGAACTTTCGAATATATTTATATTTTATAATTTATAAATATAAAAATTAAATATATCAATCTAATGATCATAGTTAATCATGTACCTTAAATATTGATTTTTTTTTTTGGTTAATGCAGAGACTTCAAACATTAACTTGAATCAACAAGATCCTTTTGAAGGATGGATAAGAGTTCCACCGAGGGTTCCAAGATATCAATTCCACCAATGGAGCTTCCACGACTCAGTGCAGCCAACCTATTTGCCGTAACGTTTTGTTCACGACGGATATGCCGAACATTTATCGTCCATTCTTGATCCCGGAGTTCTGAGAAAGAAGCTACAAAGGTGTTGTCCACTAGAGCTTCAGATGACTTGTTGCAGATCTTATTAGCATCAAAGTTATCAGTTTCCAATTCGACATACTGAAATCTAATCTCAAGCATGAGATAGGATATCGTGAATAGTCCATTGCTCCACAACAAGAACTGAACATTTACCCAGACTCCGAGTAAACCCGAAAATCCATTCACCCTCTGAATTGCATAATAAACCACCAAAAGATGCCATGCTATCATTCGTTCTCACTGCGCCATTATCGGGTCGCCTCCACACCAAAGGAACAGCAAGCAGAGCTTGTTTCAGATCTGTTGCATATGCGTTTGCAGTTTCAAACTCTTCTACCAGCCGCATACAACGCAAGACAAAATCCTCTTTTTGCACAAAATCAGGATCAAATAGCAACCTGCATCTATTTTTCCAAAGTTGCCACCAAATAATCGCAAAAAGAACTGCCCATGCTATTCACGCAGGAAACCATACCTGAATTTTTTTAAGGTTCTGCATGAACCAGACCTCATACAACAAGAAGAGAAATTCAACCAACTTATCAGCTTGGACCACCCTTGTCCAGACAGAATCGGCCAGTCTACAACAACACAAGACATGATCAACATCCTCCGAACCCCGGTTACAGATTTGGCACCCATCCATGGTCGACATGTGGCGCCTGGATCTTTCAACATTTGTGAGCAAGCGTTCTTGGACTGCTAACCATAAGAAGGTTTTCACCTTTTGTGGAACCTTAAGTTTCCAAATTATTTTCCAATTTATCTCAATTCCTCATGCTGGAAGAATGACTTCTAAGCCGACTTGGTTGTGAACTGTTTATCGAGTTCACATCGCCAACTAGGTACATCGTTTCCCGTGTGCACTTGAGGAGGTTTCACCACCGCAATACACTGAATAATATGCTCATGAAGCATGGCCGATAACATTCCCCAGTCTCAGTCGCCAGATGGAAGCACCATCTCACAAACATTAGTTGGATTCGGTGAACCGAGTGTTTTATAGGCAAATACAAGAGATTTTCGGCTTCCAACCAATGATCGAACCAAAAATCAGTACCTTTTCCATCCCTAATGTTCCATGAAATGCTCTCATTAAAATCATTCCAAATGCAATGCAACACTTTCCAAAGTCGAGAACCGTTTGAATGGTTTAAAGTGAAAGGCAATGGATGCTCCCACTTATAATTCGACCTCATGGCTTGAACCCAAATTTTTTCTGTCCGTGTAACCAATTGAAACCTCACCTTCATAAAAAAACACCTTATTCTGCCAAAATAAATTTCTCAATCCCATACCCCCCAAATCGATAGGTTTTTGCATGGTTTCCCAACGCGCAAGAGATATGCCACCATTTCCTTGGTTCGAACCCCAAACAAATCTTCTAATTATTTTCTCCATCTCTTCACACAATCCTTTAGGAAGCCAAGTGGATTGCATAACATTCATCGGAATAGTCTGAAGAACTGCCTTTGCTAGTGTTATCTGACCGGCCAATGAAAGCGTTTTCGCCGCCCATCCTGAGAGGTGCTGATTCAATCTTTCGAAGTCAAGAGTAAGTAGCCTTAATGACCCTATTATGTACAAAGGAAAACCAAGGTACCTCCTCAAGTCTGAGACCTACTCAAAACTGAAACCTCTAGTCATAGCATTTCGACACAGAATCCATCAAGAACCTCATTAATCGTACCTAGCTGGTTCATATAAGCCTCCGCAAACAAAACTAAATCATCAGCGAAAAATAGATGGGACAAACCAGGTCTATTGCATGAAAGACAGATCTGTTTCCAATCTCTCACGTTAATTATCCCCTCAATCGACTGAGATAACCACTCCATGCACAAGACAAAAAAGATACGATGATAAAGGGTCTCCCTGAAGGATCCTTCTCGTAGGTCTAAAAGAATCCGTTAATTCTCCATTCCAAAGTACCTTAGTCGAAACCGATCTAACACATGTCATTATTCGATTAACAATTTTATCAGGCAAGCCAACTGCATTAAGAGTATCCTCAATGTAATCACATTCCTGTCTGTCATACGCTTTCTCAAGATCTACTTTAATGGTCATCCAACTCTTCTCACCTGATTTCTTCGACATCGAGTGAAGAATTATTTTTGTCACAGTCTAATATCATAAATTACAAGTAAGGTTCATAACATGTCAGGTAATATCAATTATTTACCAGGTTAATATCGGGTTCGGGTTTATATCAAGTTGAACGTAGGTTGTGTTCAGTTATCACATTATCATGTTCAATTCGGGTTCAGGTTATTCTTAGGCCGAGTTCAGATCCAAAATTATCATGTCCAACTCTGGTTTAGGTTAACACCAGTTTGAACTCGAATTGATTTCAGATCATCACTATCTCAAATCACAATTTCAATCAATTTTCCAAGTTGAGTTAGTTATTTACCTCCATAATTGAAAACCAT